ACACACACACACACACACACACACACACACACACACACACACACACACACACACACACACACATATATATATATATATATATATATATATGTATGTATAGCGTTTTACGCGAGTGAGATAGAGTAGCGAATCTATATCCAATGCCTGTTAAGTGCGCAACGGCTATGACATTTGTAAGATAAAAGCTGTGAAATCCCGTGCCTTGAAACCTATACACTTTTGGGTCTGGTCATGGATACTTTACGATTTCCGGGAATGGTGCCTGACATTGACGGGGTGTAGAGGAAGGTGAAAACCATGAGTACGGACAGTTGTACGCTTCTTGGCATGCACACATAAATGCTAAGTCGTACCTGTATATATGTCGGGTTTCACCTAGTAAAACGCTAGGGAGCTATACATGTTCAGAGGTGTACTTGTGCATTCAATACGTTGCAATATGCGTGTTTTTAAAGTACACTCACCGTGATGTAAACAGTGGAGGGTCAGCTTGTGCCCCCACTTGTATTCGGATAGTAGGCTTAACCATACACACCAGCCCACGCACACCGCAAGATAATGGTTGGAATCATTTAACGTTATCTGCATGCGTAGCACTAGTCCTATACCCACTGGTCACCTGATCTCTTTGCGCTCATCCCCAATGACCAAGTCAGCATTATAATACCAGTACATATGCGTCGTCTGTATATACAGATACAACCGGCCAGGCCAAGCTGAGCATCTCGCCTCAGTCGGATGCAGTGCCAGCACAGAGTGACACACCTTCAGAGGCTCTTCCGGTGCCAGCACAGAGTGACACACCTTCAGAGGTTCTTCCGGTGCCTGCGAAGAAGCACATTGAAGTGGTTCGGTCGTCCAAGCTGCGCCATGTGCTTGGGAAAGCGCTGCACAGGAACTTCAACATTGAGGGTGTGCGAGATGTGAACACCAATGTATCGGTCGACTCACACTTGTGCGCTGCTAACGGCGTGTACGTCGCCTATCCCACAACGGGCAGTGGTGGCAGCATTGCAGGTTTGTTTGTTTGTTTGTTTGTTTGTTTGTTTGTTTGTTTGTTTGTTTGTTTGTTTGTTTGTTTGTTTGTTTGTTTGTTTGTTTGTTTGTTTGTTTGTTTGTTTGTTTGTTTGTTTGTTTGTTTGTTTGTTTGTTTGTTTGTTTGTTTGTTTGTTTGTTTGTTTGTTTGTTTGTTTGTTTGTTTGTTTGTTTGTTTGTTTGTTTGTTTGTTT